GGGGGGGGGGGGGGGGGGAGCGGGTCTCTCACTAGCTCCCCCTAAAGTCCCTGAGGAAAAGCCATTGTGAGGAATTGCTCTCACACTCCAGCTGGACGGTTCAGGGGAGTCGATCAGCTGCGCTCACCTTGCTGAGGAGCCCAGACAAGGCAGCCAGGGAGAGAGGCCCCAGCCAGGCACAGAGGTGGCACCAGCACATTTGGGTCTCTCCAGTTCTGAGATGTGCGTGCGGCCAGCTAAATCGGTAGACTTAAGCCAACAGCCACCCTCACCCCATCCCCAACTTGATCCCCGTGAAAGAGGAAGTAGAGCCCCCCCTTCCCCCACTTTAGCCTGCTTTGATGGGATTAGGTAATGGAGTAGGCAGCATCTTCAAGGACAGGTGGTCAACCCCATATTTCATCAGGGTTGGGCGATTGGTCAATGGCAGAAGCATGACTAGACCCTGGGCTCCTGACTTCTAGGACCAGGTACCTGCAGCTAAATGGGAATGTAACAGCCTCCCATCGCCCCAAAGGAGGAAGTGACCCTGCCCTGAGTATCTCCCAGCTCCAACATGGACACACACACACATGCTCCAGTGAACATACACCCACGCACAAACATGTGCACACAGATGCATGCATACAAACATGTGCACATACATGCTCAGGCATACAAACACATACACACGCATGCATGAACAAACATGCATACATACGTGCGTGTGTGCACAAACATGCATGAGTGCATGTGTGCATAAACATGCATACATTCACACGCACACACACTTTCCACTCCACCAAATGAGAACTTACCGAAGGTCTGCTTCTTTTATCTTTTTAAAGAGGTGAGATAAGACAGTGTCACCTGGTCAACAGTGGCAGATCCTGCCTGAGAACTTCCCAGAGGTCTCCAGGGAGGGAGAAGCTCACTTGGAAGTGGGTGAAAAGTGGAGGAGACAGCCCCAGGTCTGGCAGGCTGGGCCAGCATTGTGGTCAGAGTTGTTTTCCGCAGTTGACACGCCCGAGTTTGGGGTGACCTCCAGGGAAACAGCTTGCCCGTCAGCCCTGGAAGGACGGGCACCTGCAGTAGGGAGGGAAGGCCAGGGCCTAGGAGGGGCAGGTCAGGTGTTGAGTGCTGGCTCTACCACTTCTGTAACCGTGAGCAAGCCCCGGGTCTCCCCGAGCTGGCATCCTTGTCTATAAAGAAGGGATCATAATCTCTGCTTTATGGACTGTAATGAGCAGTGAGTAAGAGAATGTCAACAGTGCCCGGAATGTCGCGGAACCCAGTGGACGTTATTCTCCTCTCTCTCTCTGTCCCATAAACATCCGTTCACTGATGCACACAGAGGAGGGGGTGGACTGTGGTCCGTAAACTGTGCCATCTCTATAATGTCTGTTACTTGCTCTTGACCCCTGTCTTGCCCTCTGCTCTTTGTCATTAACACTGCTGGAGCACTCACAACTGGACTTGTAGCCCCGGTTGACAGCTGAATTGCTTGGGGTTCCCAATGTGTGCTGGGAAATGAAAACCTCTCGTTCACCTGGCAGACTCCATCCACACTCAACAGCCCTGTCGGAACTTCGCATGTTTCAGCTGAGAGCAGTCTCAGTAACGCTGTCGTTGGCCAGGATTCCCTTTTTTAAAGTCCCCGGGCACTGGGGAAATTCTGAAAGTTCCCGTTGGCAGTCGTTTTCTGTCTCCCTTTTGTCCCATCTCCTCTCCTTCAGAGGTCATGGAAACAAACGCAGTGGCTTCCAAGGAGAGGGCATGAGAGGAGGCAGTCTGTGTGTTGCTTTCTGCTGCTGAGCTGTGTGCTGAACTGCCGGGTCCTCAGTCGTGGGGACGGGCAAGCCCATGGCTCTTTGTCCCTCTAGTTACCCAATTAGCCACATGTGTTTATTGAGCCTCTACTTTGTGCTGAGTGCTGGGGTCCAGCGTGAGCATGACATTCCTGGTGCTTGGTTAATCCCACTGAACAAAAGCCACCTTAGATGGTCCCCTCTGGCCTGAGCCAGGTGCTGGGCCTGGGTCCCCTGGCGAGCACAGATGGTAAACAGCAGCCATTGTTTTAGGCTTGCTGAGCTTGCCAGGCTGTTCGGGACAGGCCATGGCACCACCCACATGTAGGGCCTGATGAACGGCTTTCCTTCCTCCTGAAGATCAGCTTTGTGGGGAAGGAGCCCCTTTTATAGACCAGTCATCACTGGATGACCTGGGTTAGAAGCTGCCCGGTGGCCAGGGGAACAACCACACCTGGCCAGCAGCATCCCCATCGTCTGCTCCTCGACTTGCCAGGGTGCACAGATCAGGACCTGGCACCTCCGGCTCCAGTTGAAGCTCTTCTCTCACCCACTGAGTCCAGTCCCTCAGGAGGGCTGTTGAAGGAGGAGGGAGGCGGGAACCAGAGTCCCCAAACCCAAAGAGCTGAGACCCTGCTTTAGAAAGACTGCTGTCTAGAGGCTGGTGCC